TGTACTTACTCACTTCCAATAACTTTTAATATTGCCTAGCGAGTTGTTTGCAGTTTTGTATTAATAGCATGGTTATTATTATTATTATTTTCTTCTTTTGGTGTATAAATTGCTTATTTTGAAACGGATTTTATTTTTTTTATGAGTTCCTATCCGTTTCCAATGTTGAATATCATATTTGCAATATTTTTCCTGTCCATCGATACTTGAAATAAATCATTTGATGTTTTATCATATCAGTCACGAAGATTCTTCAACCAAGGTTAGGTAACCTAACCTAACCAAGATATTCGCCTTTTTTTTACACTTATTTTTTCATAGATCTTTTCTTGTAATATAAGCTGGAGTATTTTGTATCATTGCTTATTTCTCATGATGTAACTTATGTAATCTAGCTTCCAAGATTTTATTGTTGTTGACGTTTCTTTTTCTTTCCCCACCCTTTCCACTTTTCAGTACCCTTTGATTAGTAATACGGTCTGTCCATGAACTTTTGAACATTCGCTTAAATAACCGCATTCCAAAAGCTTCAATTTTCCTGCATGTTAATTCTATTAGTGTCTAAGTTTCGACTACAAATAATAATACAGAGAACACGTAATGCCTTCACAGTCTGATTTTTATATTAAAATACAGATTGTGATATTTGAAAACTTTCGATATTTTTCAAAATTTTTACCTAGCTCTTTTAATTATTCAGTTTATTTCAAATTACTATACTATTTATTGGGTATTACGATTATATTTGTTTTAAAATAATTAACGGGATCGCGTATCCTTAAAATCTACGACACAGTTACATAATACAGCTGAATAAGATAAATATTTAATTATATTACATAAATTAATTATCAGAATTATTAGCCTTTTAGGAATGTACCTTTTTGGTTAGTAAAAATGTACTGATTTGTTCATATATTTTTCTTAAAAGTTGCGGATTTCCCACCCACCCCAGTAGTACTTTGATCAAAACATTTTTATAAAAATTGAAAAAAAAATGACACGCTACATCGGTTTCATTTTTGTTGATTTCTTAGTTACCTTAGCTATTATGCGAGGGAAAAAATGATACGATAAGTATTATTATCTTATTACAAGTTTACCGAGCTCCATTGAGACCAATTTTTAATTTATTTTTATTTTCAATATATTATACTAAATATAACTCTATATTCTGTACTTTCCAATCTTCTCACCTACAACAGTGGCTGTGAGTGGAAATTACACTTGTGGTACGAAGTCTGTTCGGCTTTTATTTTGTTGGTATAAAACTATGAAATAAAAAACCGTTTTAAATAATATATTAGCCATCACTTTCTATAGGGAGTATAGGAAAAACTCGTCAAACAATTTTTTTTTCTGACCTCCACTATCACTGATATAAATCACATTAAATAATAACTCCTAACTACTTATAGTCAAAGATTTACTGTCGTTAGTGTTAGTTCTGAAACGTAATATTAATAATTATTATTGTCTCCGACCATCTTATTTTATTTCTCAATTTTGTACTCGTAATAGTTTTAAAAGTATATTGTGGCCCAAATAGATTGTGTATCTCTGCGGTCGAATTAAAAATAAATAAAAATATAAAAGAAAATTATAAAGAAATGAATAATGTAATTTAAAATAATAAAAATAATGTAACTCAGCTACAAAGTACAAGCTGAATCTTCAAAAAAAAAGGGGGAAAAAATTGAATACCCGAAATGCATCAAAAAAAAAAAAAAACTTTTTAATAATGTTTTCGTTATTTATTATTATACTGAGATATATTATTTTCAGTCGTAGTAGAATTCATTTTTTTAAAAAAAGGAAAAAGCATTCATACGCTTTTGTTATACGCTAAAACTATTATAATATTATGAAAATCATGTTTATTCGAATATACCTATCCCATTATTACTATTTTTCAACATATTTTATAATGTTATAATATGCAATTACAGTATTGTATTACCGTACATGTATTGTTACTGTAAATAAAGCTAAGTATGTTATTGAAATGTTTTTTTTTTTTTAAGGGGGAGGGGTAGATGTGGTTATTAAAAAATATGTTATACTACCATAATAATAATATTATTAGAATACAAATATTACCCTGGGGGGTAAGGGTGATTGGTAAGATATGAATTCAATTCGTTAATAAATCATATCGAAAAACGATTCTGAGCGGAGTAATATTAATTGCGTTTTTTGCCTACGCCCTAAGATTGAGTACACTCATAAATCATTAATAAAATAAAACTGATGAATCAACATTTGTTATTCGTTTTTAAATTACAAAGAAAAATTGTATGAATCTCAAAATTTATTTTAAAATAGAAAGTAGTATAGATTTGTAATTGTTATGGCGTAGCAAAGCACAGCATGGACAAGCATTAGGTTAGCCTCTTTTTAGACCCCGAATTTGGTTTCGTTTTGTTCCGATTTTCTTTATTTCTACGATGCAGTAAGATGCTGCATAGAATTCTGTAAATTTGGCCTCTTTTATGGTTTTTAATTTTGATTCTTTAAAATAGAAAATTTAGTTTATCACTAAATATTATTTAAAAAATAAAAACTTAAAATGAGATTAAATTTAGAGTCTGAAAAGAGGCCAAACTAACAAATTTTTATTCAAAGTTTTACTGCATTGTAGAACCTACAAATCTATACTCCTATAGTGTACTACCGAATGAAAAATTTGCATAATTTAAGGTACGATGTTAATAATTTTAGGCCTTGTTCTTACTAAACAAAAGAACTTTTTCCAAGAAAAACCTCAAGATTCTCTTGGATCATTTTGACCTAGAGGGTGAATTATTAAACCGTTCGATAAATGTTTCAAATAAAGTACTACTAGGCAGGCATTTTTATTTTTATTTATTTCGAGGTTCTGCGTTAATAAATTGAATCATGTTTTTATCCAAAATTGTGTTTTTTTAAAAAAAAAAAACAACATTTTTTTGGAAAAAGTGTTACGAATTACGAAAATAATTTAAAACCTAAATAAATATTCTCTATAGTTATTTTAGAGCGGTTATAGTTATCTTTGGCTAATCTTATAGTTTCAATGTATGTAATAATATAAGTATATCCATACAATTGATATGTTATCCACCTAGGTCATATTTATTTATATAAATGACATATTTTATTAAATTTTTGAAGAAAAATAATACAGACATAATATTATATCAAAATAAACCATATTAACTACTATAGTTCACTGTGTGAAACCGGTATAAAATAATATAAATGTATATATTTTTTATCAAACAATAAGATTTTACGACTTTTCAGATAACTTGACACAGTGATTTTTTTCGGATGCTACTATAATATAAACCAAAGTAATATAACGCGATTATTTCGATTATTACTTTTTTTTTTTTTTAATAATAATAATAATAATAATCATAAAACATGTATTATCTCGCCATAAAGCTTAGACTTATTTCACAGAAACAATCGTTTACGATACCTATACGTAGTTAGAGAAGTACTCATTCATTTATTTTCAAATGGATTTTTTTTCAATAAAGTATATGTGTTCATTCAAGTGTGTAATTACGACCACGTATATATCTGTTAAAAATTTTAAAAGAAATCTTAGCCTGATGGAATTATGTAAACTCGGTAAAATCAAAAATTCTTTTTTGACAGGGCAAACCTTTTTTTACAGGAAATATTTAGTACGATTTAGTTTAAATTATGGATTGGTCAGTTCCTGAAAAACTTCGATACCGTTTATAGTTCGGTTCCAAAAATTCTTTTGGTTTTCGATACCGATACAGGATCTTTTTTTTAGTGTGAAAATATTTATAGAATAATTTATGTACACTGTAATGTATTGGTTATTATTTTATCCACTTAAAATCTGTCTTTAAAAATTTTGAATAAAAAAAAATTTAAGACGTAAAAACCTAACTAATATCTTCAAAAGTTATTTTCAGAATGAACCCGAAAAATCAGAGACATTTCTACGGAGTTTTGGTTAAATACATCGTAAGTTCAAAAATAAACCATGCAGTGAATTTTATCTTCTACATACTTTTAATTCACGACATACTTACCCAACGATACATAAGTAAAAAAAAAAATTTATCTTTACACAGAAAAAAATCAGTCTACATGTTTCACACTATAGGTAGGCCATTTTTTTGGATGGGGAGTTTGCCAATTTCCCGCCTACAAACATATAAAATTTAAAAGGTTAGTCAATTTGTATGATTATTACGCTGAAATAAACTATAAATAATTGAAATAAATAACGATTTTGAAAAAAGCTCTATAAACTGATAAACTGATTATACTAGTATCAATCGTGTTTTTCTCGTTTGTATAGACTGTAAAAGGTAGTAATCATAAAAAATGAATTCTATTTATCGTTATTTGTTGTCAGTGTTTTTTTGATTTTCTAGAAAAATCTGTCGGGTCAAAAAAAAAAAAAAAATGTGTCAACCAATACTAGGAGAAAATACTGCATCTCTTAAGTTATACTGCATGAAAAAATCTGAGCATTTTTACTAACCAAAATACTAAATGCTGTTAATACTTCGCAATGCTGTATATTATATAATATGGTCATATATTGGCAATGACATTTCTTTTTTTTATGCAATTCTAAGTTTTTAGTATTTTAAGTAATATTTCACTTGTTCAAATTGTCTCCATTGCAACTCAGGCACAGTTTATAGGAGGTGTACATCTACAAAATTGTTTTATATGTTAACTACAATTAATTATTTAAATTATGTCATGCAAATAAATAAATAAGTAGTTTTTTTCATGTAAAAAAAACCACACTGATCTCGGTTCATAGTCACGCGTATCATCGGTTCGTTTATTATTATTAGTTTTTTCAAATGCCCAGAAGCTTTATTATTTTAACGACTTGAAGGTCTTTATACATATGTTTAAGAAGATATATCTTATATACTAGATGTTAATATATACTTTATACGTTGATGAAGTCACACTTCCAATGAAGTGGCTCCTACCCTTAACTTGAATTCTTAAACTAAGTCGTATGGTTTTTGACACTTAATGCGTTTAATGTCTTTGGAGTTGTCTAATAATTGGATGGCTAGTAGATTGACATGGTGATCTAATCTTGTCTCGTGTTTGTGAGTAAACTTTTGGATTTCATTAGCTATTGTAGGCAGCATCATATCGCGGTGAATGGCATCGTTTCTTTCAAACCGGTAGGCTGCAGTGATGGTCCGAAGAGCGATGTTTTGGCAGCGTTGTGTTATATCAATGTTAGACTTATTGGCAGAAACCCACAGTTAAATGCCATAGGTCCTTTTATTCTGATTCTAGTTGAAAGAGTTATGTTTTCTTCGAGAGTATTTATAAATAATTCCCAATTCGTATTTTTGTTTGTTATGGAAGTTTTCTTTTGTTTCACTATTACATTTAAACTTAATGAGAGAAGCACGGGAATGTGATCAAGAGGTTAGCTCAATTAGACCTTCAATTTTTACATAATTTGATAAACTTCCTTTCATTACATAGAAGTCAATAAGATCAGGTAGTTTATTTGGGTCAGTTGGCCAGTAGGTTGGTTTTCTAGTTGAGATGAATTGTGCTTTAATTTTATTTGCAGATTTAAACAAATCATATCCTTTGGTGGTAATTAATCTTAATCCCCAAAAAGTAGGTTTGGCATAATAATCATCTCCAGCAATGAATCTACTATCCAGAGTCCGAAAGAATTCAGTAAACTTGTTGTCATTCGCTTTATATCGTGTTGGAAAATATATAGCAGATATAGTAAGGTCATTGCCGTCGTCATTTACACGGACACTTGTTGCTTGTCAATATTCTTGAGGATGTTTTTAAAGTTCATGGTGTTTGATTGATTCTTTTATTGTCACTGCAGTCCCTCCATGAGCGTGGTTGCTTGGATGTTCTGTTGTATATATTTTATATCCACGTATCTTTATACTGGTCCATGTTGTAAAATGTGCTTCTAAAATTTTGTGATAACAAAAATTGTCAAGATCATAGATGTCTTTGTTATTCGCTTGTAGCTCTAGATCAACGAAGAATAGTGGAAGCCTCATAATAATAAAATCACTGCTTGTTATTAGGGTCAACTTTTTTTTAATCTGGATGTTCGTAGCATTATGTGTAAGATGTCCTAATTTAGATAATTCATTTTTAATGTCACTAAGGTCGATTTCTGGGTGTAATTCACGAACTACCACCCGAAACTTTTTCTCTGCTTTAAGTTGTTTGTCACCCATTAATATCTTAATTTCAATATTTGCCAAGGTTTTTTGAGTTTTAGATAATACATTAGTTTTTAAAATTATTTACACCACATACTGTTATTGGAGGTGGTTTGTGGATTTTTATAGAAGTTCTCGTAATTTCTTTCATCACTTTTATTGCTTTTTTAGGGGTGCTCCAAATGTCTTTAGAGCTTCCAGTGGTCATTTCAGAAATCTGAAGTTGTAATTTTTCATTGCTTGATTGCAATTCTGCTACTATTTTTTTCAAAGCTGAACTATTATCATATTTAATTTGTATCCGAATACTCGAATTAACTAAAATATTTTGTGGTGGATTTGCACCGTCGTTTATATTTTCATACATTTTAATTCGATCAGTTTACGTGTGACCCACTTAAAATATGTTTATAAAAACTCATCGTCCATTCGAGGCCGTTTTCTGCATTACAAACATTAACATAAATTTAAAAAAAAAGAATAACGGAAACAGCACTATTTCGCGAACTGCGAGAGCGAAACGTTCGTGTTGCTTGTCCGGTGTACAAATCGCAACTAATGGCATTTATTAATTTATAAATACATATGTTCATTTATCATTCATCCTAGGGAAACAAGTAAAAATTTCTAATTTGAAGAGAAGTTCGTCGAATGACATTATAGACATCCGAAAATAGTTAAAATATTTGTTTTCGTTATCTCCTAAATCCTCCTACAAGGTTGAAAACTTCTTTTAATAAATTATTTGTGAAATTAAAGGATGACCCCATATTCACAGTCTTTTAGTTTACAGTTTTTCTTTTTTTATAATATGATGTGCTTTATAGAGCAAAAATACACGTATATTCATTTTTGGACGACTTCTGACACACAACTGACTATTTCGATGAGTTGTACAAATACGAAATGCTTCTAAAATACACGTCGATGTGAATACAAAATACGGTGTGTTTTTGTACGCGTTGCTGTGAAGCGGGCTTTAGTGTGAAAACTAAGACGAAAAGATAAGAACAAATGCGTAAATTACACATATTTTTAAGCAATCTATCAGTTGCTTTACATTAAACTTGAAATATTATAGTAAATTTACTTACTTTTATCCCATAAAATCGAGAAGGCTCGTTTTAGTCTGGTTAAATCCTCATAAACGCATTTTCCGGCGTTATTTTCGGGCATACTATTAAAATCCACATTTGAGTTTATTCTGTATAATATTATACTAAAATCAAAAGAGTCACATTGCGCGATTTTTTTTTATTAGCAGCGTTGAATCCACGTAGGTACCTATAGGATTAATATTATCAATCATCATCATTTTTTTTCTCAGGAAATTAAAAAAAATGTGAGAAGAGAGGCAGCATATCATCTCCACGTGATATTTCGTGATTAATTGAACGGGTGGTGGCGAGATATACACCAACGCTATGACTTAAACAAAACAAATAATAATAAAAATAACGATAGTAATTTTTTTTGCCTAAAATCCGAGTACTGAATCAAATAGTATGGAAAAAAAAATAACACAAACAAATATAATATATTATTATATAAACCGTCGTAATGAAAATATAGTGAGTTTTGAAATATAAAATAAAAATTAAGATATACTTCGACAATAGTACGAGATGACAATGGTAATAATATATAAGAGATAATAGTAAATTGTGTGTGGGCATCATCAAGTAATAAAACTCTCAATACAGGAAATCCAAAAAAAAAAAAAAACTATACGAAAGAACATATAATAATATTATTCCCTAGGGGTCGTCACGTGCATCGATTTGAAAGTGAAAAATAAATTGCACCGTGAAAATATACGTTATATTCTTTATACTATTATACCTATTTGTATTATATCGGATAATATTATATTTTAATAACCAATATGTTATAGAATGTATACGTATATAATTTTAAATTTGATTTTCAAAACTTGAACGCATGAACATTTCACGAGGAATTAATCAATTTTCGAGGAACTGGGCAAATAATATATAAATTATTCACTCGTCGGAACACCAAACCGCGTATATTTTTCGTAAAATTTCATCCGAATTTTCTCGTTCGAAAAAAAAATTAATGAAACATAATATTATTATTTTGTATTTGAATCACGTTTATAGTTAGTTAATGTTCTAACCAGACAGTACTAAAATATACCTAACAATCAGTGATGAGCTATGAGCATATTTGCAGAAATCCTATATAAACATAGTTTAATACTTATCATTGTTTAATACAATGAGCTGAAATGAATATCCAATTTCCCTCCTCCACCCGAATTCAAATGTTTCTAGGGCTAAGCGATTTTGATGAGGAATCATCGTTCACCAAGCAATCACTGTTAATAATTGTTCTATTGTTAAGGGGGTTGAAATAGAATTATTTGTTTACATTTTAAATCAATAGCGATGGGAGATAAGACATACTTCCCAACATCCGATTTTTATTTTTAAAGTAAGTATGAATTTGTTATCAAATTTTCTAGGTTATTTAGAAAACGAACTTTTTGTCTTCATTTACATAGAATGGATCTATATCCAATATCCGCTTTTGGATTATTAGTGTGAATATAGTTAAGTCTGAAACATTTGAGAAAATTGCGGGTTGCGTCATATAATAATAATATATAAAAAGGTATTTACATGAATATTGACCAAACAAATAAAATATCTCGAAAAGATATTTTTATTTTATGACATAATAATATATCAGCATACTAATTATACATATAGTTCGCAATAGCAATTAAATCAACGTGAGTAAATTTTCTATACAAATCAGGTAAATATATAACTATGTAGGTTAGCTACTTTTGGATAATATAATATTCAAAGCACTCTAAAAATTATCTGTTCAACGGATATGCGGAAAATTTAAAAAAAAATATTTGTTGTCACCGTGGAAAGAAAAAGTCGTATTAAAAATGATTTTCCGCAAAGACTACTCTTATAATATATTATATAAGTTTGCAAGTTTTTTTTCAAAAAGTTACTGATGTTTAATAAAAAAAAAAAAAACCAATCGTTATTTTTTAAATTCCGAGCGTGTGCAACGAAGATGAACGTATATTAGCTTTCTCGAAAAGTACTTTCTTGGTTATACTTAAACGTTTCGATTTGTTCACACGGTATATACATTAAACGACGCTGAATTTCCGCCCAATAATAAATTTTAAAATTGTTTTAGATTCCCAACGGTTTTTCTAAAAAAACAAGTTAAAAACCGACAGTAAATCGATTTTAATTATATTGATTTCTAAGTTACCTTGACTACACGAAAAGGCAAACATATCACGACAAATATTGTGATATTAACCTATTATTTGTTTACCGAGTTCCACTCAGAAGTTATGATCGTAATGAATTATTGCTGCTTTCGTAATATCATAAAGAGAATTGCCCTGAAAATTCCTTTAACTTTCTACCAACAACAGTAAAGCCTAATACACTATGGCTAGTGCTGAGATTTCGATGCACTTTGCATTTTCTTTAAAAGGTTGCTGTGCAATGCTCGTCTGATTACAAATCCGTACCACCATTTTGAATGAAAATAAGAAAGACATTCTATAGTAAGGTTATTTTCTTAATTTTCGATGGCATTTTTAGAGCTTTTGGAGAATTTTTGGAGTTTTTAGATAAAAAATATGAATTTGAAATTTTCAGTGTGACAGTTCAGAATGTACAGGTAAATATATATATATTTGATCTAAACCTATTAAAAAAATTTTTATAATTTTTGAAGGCGATTTTTTTTCAGGTTAAAAGAAGTCCAAGTCGATGAAATTTAACTATCTGTAAAATTTATTTTTTTAGTTTATAATAATTTTTTTTATAACAAAATACTAATAGAATTTTTAAAATCTACCTGTCATCCATATTTTTTTTAATAAATTTAAAGTATGTTTAATTGCATTTTGTTAAGTGTAGTTGTTGATATTTTTTAGGGTATTAAAAACCCAGCCCTACCTATGACCAATACAATAGATTTATTACTTGTCATGATTTAATTGTATTTTCATTAAATTTTACAAGAGAAAATATTGTTAGTTTTGCTATTTTTTAAATATCCTGTGCTCATTTGACGATGGACAAAAATACTTAAGTTTAAATCACGAGTATACGATAATGTAATGAGTATGAGTGTAGTGGACGGCCGATAAAAAATTAACCAAAATGTTATCACACACACACACACACACACACACACACACACACAATATACCTACTTATAACAACATAAAATATTATTTAATCAACCTATGTTTTTCGTCAAAAGTTTATTGCTATTGTACTATTATATTATAACATAATAACCATAGTTAAAATAAAATTAGAGAGAAAATATTTATAAATTCATAACTGTGCAGTAGGAACAGTGTTCACATATTTACCAAACGAACAAACCCACGGAGTTACTAATTTGCATGAACAAAACCACGACGAAAAGCTGACGTATATATTTACATACCTAGCATTTCTTTGACTTCTCAAAAATTTTAATTTTCGCAGCAAACTTATTCGGTGCTACGTTTTTTATCCAATACAGGCCTGTTATTGTCGAAAATTAATTTAAAAAAGAAAACTGTTACTGCTAACGCATGTATCACTTTTTATAGGAAAGAAGTTGGATGGGATACTACAGAGTAATTAAATTTATATCTGTAAGCAAACATAAATTAATGCTTACGAAAAATGATTCTGAGCAGAGTATTATTAGTTGTATTTATTTAATACCTAAGTAATCTAAAAATCAACAAAATTTATATAAAAATTGATAATTTTTCTCATTTATTTAAAAACTTATAAGGAAAATAAAAAAAAAGATGGACATACTTCACACGTGGGTGCAGACACTGTTGTAGGTGGGAAGTTAGGAAGATAGGATACAGAAAGGAATTTAATGTTTATCTGTAAGCAACGATAAACCATTGCTAACGAAAAAACGATTCTGAGTGAAATTCGGTTGATAATGTTGCTTTTTCAACAATATGTATATATATATGTCATATTATAGTAAAATGATTATAACAATATGCGTTTCCATGACAAAAATGATTATTTAAAAAAAAATTATTAAAATAATAAAAACTTAATAATAAAAAAAAAAATAAAAATGGTTTCCAATGACAACCTTATTTTTAATCTTTTAATCTTTTTTAACTTTTAATTTTTAACTTTTTTCTAAGACCGAGATTTTCCTTATTATCTCGAATATTAATGAGAATTTAAAAAATTGACTTTTTTAAAGTACCACCCAGAGAACAGAAAAAACGCTATACTTGATAATCAGAGTAATCTTTCTGTTAGAAAAAGTGTTCACATAAAAAAAAAAAAAAATAATGAACATTATTGTAAATCCTAGACA